GTATTCCAAAGGTCGTAGGTTCGAATTCCACCGTGGCCGGGCATATTTTTCAAGCTCGCCCGGTGTGGATATACACTCAGAGTAACACCACAAATATCATATTCACCTGAGTACACTACACCAACACAGAAAAATTCATATTACTAGAATACATTGGTATCGAAGGAACTAGATTCTGTTCCGAAATATCACTTACTCGAACCGTCCTGACCGCGTAGCTCAGTTGGAAGAGCATTGGGCTAGTATTCCAAAGGTCGTAGGTTCGAATCACACCGTGGCCGGGCATATTTTTCAAGCTCGCCCGGTGTGGATATACACTCAGAGTAACACCACAAATATAATAAAATCTTGTTATCATTGGTTATCATGTTTTCTTCACATTTCAAGAAAAAAAATTATGCCAGGGTGGCCAATGCAAGGTGTGGGCAATATGAATCGAAAGAGTTTAAGTAAGCAGATTGTACACGCTTCTTAGTGTTTTAACACTAAGAAGCGTGTACAATCTGCTTACTTAAACTCTTTCGTATTGTATTTTCGCTTGAGCAACCAATAGCTATGTTTTCATTTAACCATTGTGTAGTATCACCACTATCATGACTGGGTAATTAAACCAAGACACTGCTATTGGTTGGTTGGGTGAGAAAACAATACACACGTGTCGATGAACCGACCATTTCTTGCATAAACCAAGACAAAATTAAAACAGATAATGAGGTCTGTTAAGTCTATACATCGAGTTTTCCAGCTTTCTTATTCTATTGACTATTTTTTTAGTTTTTTGAACTATCCTGAAAACAGCTCTCTTTCGTACGACCGTCATCATGTCTTGTGATAATCATGTAAACGATAATTCGACATAAATGACCTCGTTTCCTCACACATTTGCCCAAAATGGCGAATATTGACCCGCGTGAGAAATGCTTAATTTTAATTACTAATATTTAAATAACTCTTGGTTAGTCAAACTAGATAGTTAGTAGAAAATAAATATGGTTTGGAAGCTTGAAAAAAGTCATTGTTCTATGTTTTTGTCCAAGTTTATGGAAATTTGCGCACTCGGATTCTGTATAATGAGGCGATTACCCAATAAAAACCTTCGTCTTAATCGCTGAACCGTAATATTTGAATATTAATAAACGCAAGAGAATTACATTTCAACATCAGTTGTAGTTTGAATAGGAAATCCTTTGAAGTTTACCGGCCGTCCTAACCATGTTTATTTCTATTAACTATGGTCAAAGTGAGTCTGTGAAAAAAACAAGTGCATGCACACGGTGAACAATGAGGTAACCAAGGATTTAATTTAAAATGGTGACAACAAGCCTAAACACCGTGTTATCTGATTAGGCCTATCCTATCGTTGTATCAATAAAAGGTTTTTTAAAACCTTTTATTGATACAACGATAGGATAGGCCTAATCAGATAACACGGTGTTTAGGCTTGTTGTCACCATTTTAAATTAAATCCTTGGTTACCTCATTGTTCACCGTGTGCATGCACTTGTTTTTTTCAGACTCACTTTGACCATAGTTAATAGAAATAAACATGGTTAGGACGGCCGGTAAACTTCAAAGGATTTCCTATTCAAACTACAACTGATGTTGAAATGTAATTCTCTTGCGTTTATTAATATTCAAATATTACGGTTCAGCGATTAAGACGAAGGTTTTTATTGGGTAATCGCCTCATTATACAGAATCCGAGTGCGCAAATTTCCATAAACTTGGACAAAAACATAGAACAATGACTTTTTTCAAGCTTCCAAACCATATTTATTTTCTACTAACTATCTAGTTTGACTAACCAAGAGTTATTTAATATTAGTAATTAAAATTAAGCATTTCTCACGCGGGTCAATATTCTCCATTTTGGGCAAATGTGTGAGGAAACGAGGTCATTTATGTCGAATTATCGTTTACATGATTTAATATCACAAGACATGATGACGGTCATACGAGAGAGAGCTGTTTTCAGGATAGTTCAACATTTTTTTAAACTCAAAAAATAGTCAATAGAATAAGAAAGCCGGGAAACTCGATGTATAGACATAACAGACCTCATTATCTGTTTTTGTCTTGGTTTATGCAAGAAATGGTCGCGATTCATCGTCACGTGTGTATTGTCTTCTCACCCAATCAACCAATAGCAGTGTCTTGGTTTAATTACCCAGTCGTGATAGTGGTGATACTACACAATGGTGAATGAAAACATAGCTATTGGCTGCTCAAGCGAAAATACAATACACACGTGACGATGAACTGACCATTTTTTTCCATAAACCAAGATAAAAGCATCGATGATGAGCTCTATTATGTCTGCATCGAGTTCTCGAGAGTTCTCTTACCTTATTGTGCAACCTCGTACCCAGGGTCTTTCCTCTGGTCACGTGATCTGCTAAAATCTAGCAGATTTCTAATTAACTATCTTGGATTCCTTTACGACAATCATACAAAATACAAATTATAAATCATCCAAATATCAAATATTTATTGACTTCTTCTTGGACTGCTAATTAAACATCTGCTAGATTTTAGCAGATCACATAACTAGCGTCTGCCAGGGTCTTTTCCCCCAAGAGGAAAGACCCTGGTTAAGAGGTTGCTTATTCTGTTGACCATGCTCAGAATTCGCTTTATGGTTTAAGATAAGGCTATATATTGCCTGGTTGTTGTCTTCAAAACCTCCATCTCGTCTATCCCCTTTATCAACAACCATTTGAGAACCTGCATTATGACAGTACTTACACAGGGGGGGGGGGGGTAATTCCTGTTTTTAAAGCCTAACACGATCACTGAATACTTACAATAGCAATGAAATAACCGGTTCACATCCAGTGTATAGATAACAATACTAATAGATAAAACCATGTGGGACAAGTATAATCTCTTGTACAAATTCATCACAATCGATTATAATTTAATCTTGTTATTATTGGTTATCATGTTTTTTCACATTTCAAGAAAAAAATATACCAGGGTGGCCAAATGCAAAGTGTGGGCAATATGAATCGAAAGAGTTTAAGTAAGCAGATTATACACGCTTGATGATAGTGTTAATTAATTAAGAACGTTTTATTGATACAACGATGGGATAGGCCCAATCAGATAACACGGTGTTTAGGCTTGCTGTCACCATTTTAAATTAAATCCTTTGTATACCTTAGTTGTTCAGGTCCTGTAACATACGGAACAAGGTTAAGTAGATAGGTAGGTAGGTAGGAAGGTAATACTTCAGTAAAATCAAAGAGGAAGAAGAACACGTCATCAACTCTAGGCTGGTTTCCATGGGGGCGTGTTTAAATCTTAAAAAAAAACACGTTAAAAAGAAAATTAAACTAAATATTAATACACACACATACACACATGATATATACAAATAACTAGGAAGCATGTCGTTGTCCAACAATTGATTTAAATGAATGAAGCGACTCGGCCATTTTCGCAGTGTGGTCATTAAGTATTTTATACATTAAGAGGCAATTTTTTTCAATGTCACATATTTGCAATGAAAAGTGTTCAAAACCTAAAATCTTTTTGGCGTTCCTTTCACAATTACTTTGTTTTAGCTTTATTCTCTAGTTTATACAGTTACCTGCATTAACCTTTTTAAATGCATCTGCCGGTTGAGAAACATAAAATAATAGTTAAAAATTGTCAATTAAAATACAATTATCAATGATGCTTTAAAATTGACGCCATCATATTTACAGCCATATTGCAAAACTTACTGAACTTCAGACATCATTTTTTCTTTGGCGTATCATCTAAAATCTCTTCATTTTAGCATTATATTTCAGATAAAGCACTAAACATACTTTTTAAGTTTGTTAGCCGATTGAGAAACCTATCGAAAAATACTGAAAAATGTTGAATTTAGTCATATAAACCTAAAGTGGTATATTATACGCATTAGTTTTGAGCACGTGTTACGTAACATACAAAAACATCTCCTCTTAATTATACAGGGTGTATCAAAAAAAGCGCAATCCTCGACTGAAATGTAAATTGCTAAACAAATAATAGACGAAAACGTTAAAGTTTACATTCATTTTAAAGCGCAGCCATTCAGCTTTCTAACAGTGGGTTGTTTCTTAAATTTGACCCATTGGTTCGCGGGTAATAATACTTTACGTTATTGCGATTGAAGATTAAAAAAATTGAGATGGAATTAACAAATCGTTCTCATGAAAATAACTGATTTTTGTCATTAAAACAAAAAAATGTTGCATTTTATTAGATGTATTGTAACAATAAGTATAATTACAGCTTTTCTTCCACTATTTTTAACTCAGTTTGAAACTTCAAATGCGATATCATTTTGGCTTGGACCATCTAAGCTGACTGACATCAACTTGCTATAATTTCTGTTTACATTACATCGCAATTCGATGACACTCTGGCTCAGACACCAGAATGTTTTGACGATTTTTAGCATTCGTTTACGAATTTTCAAACAACCTGGTCTCTTTTAAAATACTTTTAATTTGTTCTTACGTGGTTTTCCAGATGTAGTGACAACAACATTAAAGTTTAAAGAAGAAAATTCTAACATTTAAACCGACTAAACAATAACATAGTAAACTAGCATAATTAAACAGCAACTAAAAATGATAGGTTTTACTAAATCTTTTCCTGTGCAATTATTACAAGCATTGGAGACAAGGATAATAGTTTATTTGAAAGAGAAAAGAACAGGCTTTGAAGTAAGCCTAAAAGCGTTTAACTAGAGATAGTATTTCGAAAGTTATTAAGCACAAAAGATGAATTGCGTTTATTTTGATACACCCTGTATACTTTACATACAGAGGTTCTGTATCTTTCGCCTTATTCTCGCTCGTATTTATTTTACGCGAGGCGAAGAGAACCTCTGGTGGCACGCATTTATATACAGAGGTTCTGTATCTTTCGCCTTATTCTCGCTCGTATTTATTTTACGCGAGGCGAAGAGAACCTCTGGTGGCACGCGATACAAATCTCTCTTCCTTTGGTACAAAATTTGTACCAAGCACATGATTGGTTAGTTATAATTAGCAGTCACATGAAGTGATGTGATTGGCTAGACAAAAGAACCTGTTTATAAATCTCAGAGAATATAATGTAAACAAAATACAGAAATAATACGAACGTATTAAAATGCTTTGCTTCGTGTGGGTTATTTGAGATTAACTTAGTTTGTTCCGCTATAAAAAGATTTTCTGCGCTGGAGAAGAGCTGCCATCGCGGCATGACTTGAGTTGACGGCATGACATGTTCACCGCTCTATTACAGTATTAATATTTGTAAAATATAAAGTGTTGGGGAAGCCTCACATATCGATTTTGTCCATGAGAAACGTCATATGTTCGTTTCTCTGGAGACCCCCCCCCCCCACACCCCTTAGAGACGTCACACATAGTTATCGATATTTTGTTCTTTAATATAGTACAAATAAGGTAATTTTCTAGTATTTTCTAAGGTCGGCTATTGGCGATGCTTCCGTGAGAAACATGTCATCAAAATTTCCAACGTTTCTCAAAACAACTTTTTTTGCATGAAATATTGATAATTTAGCGCGTTTTTTTTTTAAACTTGAGTCTTTTAATGCAAGCCAGGCGTAATAATATAAATGTATACGTATATAGAACAGGTATGGTTTATTCTGCAAAGATGATTCCGAAATGTCAAGTCTTTCGAAAAAACTATCGAATTTTTCCATGATGTTTACTGAGAAACGTCACAGCTGCAAACCCACCCCCACCCCCAAACGAACATATGACGTTTCTCGTGGAAAAAATCGATATGTGAGGCTTCCCTAAAATTAGGCTTTTTCTTTTACTAACCCAGCATAGAAAATTCCTATTTTAGTATTTATTTCGCGTTAAGTAAATTCAATTCAAACTTCATCAATGACATTCTGATATGTCGGTCATAAATTCGAATGTACATTTTTGTCTCGTATTTTGTTATGCCGTCGCCACAGAAAAATAGAACATATTGATAAAAATTCTAGGCCTAGGGGGAATGGAAACACGTGGAATGTTCTATTATACTTATAGTTTTTTAAATCAATCAACTAAATCAATCAACTGAATCAAGGAAAGAATAATCCGTCTTTCTGAATTCTGGTATATTTTTGAAATATACAAGTTCGTGACATTTATGAATCTGGTCAGACTGAATGAATGTGGCATAACATTCAAAAACAAAGCTCTCTCGATCGTGTCAGGAAAAGAATATTACGACTATATTTACAAAAAGGGTTTTACTAGCTGTGGTAGTTAATTTCACTGAGATATGTTAGTCAGAAAGAAATTGTTTACTTTTAGCGCCTCTCAAGAAATATGTTAATTAGCTATAAATTATGCAAAAATCATTGATTATGGGTTCCAGAAAATCTTAACTCGCGCCAAATACAGATTGATACCCGCAGGTTTCTCTTCCGATCTTCTGAACATAAGTT